CCCCAAAACCCCAAAACCCCAAAACCCCAATTGACTAAGTAGTTTGTAATTTAACTACAAAGAATTATAATCAATGAATAGAATTTCATTTAAGTAAAAAATATAATTTAAAAGTTATAAATAATAATTCTGATGGAAAGTTCAGTATCTTCACCAAAAGCATCGCCTAACATAAAAAGAATTAAATCTCAAAAAATTAATGATCTCCTTAAAAACCTTAATAAAGAATAGAGAGAGGCTATTAACTATAATAGCTCTCCTTTGCTTATCTTGGCTGGAGTTGGTACTGGAAAAACTCAAACTCTAATGAGCAAATATGCACACCTTATTTCCAAAGGTGTTCAACCTCAAAAAATACTTGCTGTCACTTTTACAAACAAGGCAGCAAGAGAAATGGAAAAAAGAGCTGAGTCCATCACTTAAAGTGCCTTGAGGTTTAATTGGATTGGTACTTTTCACAGTTTATCTGCAAGAATGTTAGGATTCGACTAAGTCTATGAAAGTGTAGAACTTAAAGTAGATTATCATATTCTAAACTAAGACAAGCAGCGAAAGTAAATAAGGAAAATTTTGAAGGATCAAAAAGGAACAAAGGACTTGTTCCTTGCATTTGAATAAAAGATGTTCAGCTTAAATCAGAAGCATTAATACAGAGGCTTTAAGCCTTCTGTACCTTATGCTAAAATGGTCTCCTGTATTGATAAATTCAAAAATAGGCTCCTTTTCCATGACGATGATGAACCAAAAGGGCTCAATGAATTTGAGCGATTAGTGTTCCTTAATGTATATACTGAATACTAAGAATCTTTAATTAGTGAAAACCTAGTAGATTACGGAGACTTGATTCTATATATGGTAAGGATTTTCAGGCAGAAGCCTGAAATTCTTCAAAAATACAGAGAATAATTTGAATATATACTTGTTGATGAAGTGCAAGATCTTAATTTACTTTAGCAAGAATGGCTGAAGCTGATTATTGGAGATAACAAGCAATTCACTTGTGTTGGTGATGATGACCAGATGATCTACGGATTTAGAGGAGCTGGAGGAGATTTCATTCTCAACTTCGAGTAGCACTTCTAAAATGCTCATATTATAAGACTTGAGCAAAATTATAGATCAACAAAAGTAATTTTGACTCATGCCAACAATTTAATATCTAAGAACAAAAAAAGAAAAGGAAAAAACTTGTGGACTGAAAATAACGAGGGAGAGCCAGCATACATCAATGAATTTTAAGATGTTTAGACAGAAATCGACTAGATATGCAGATAAATTAAGGTATTGATTTAGAAGTAAAATGTTCCTCCTAATTAAATTGCCATACTAACAAGAACTAACTAAGAAGGGAGAGAGTTTGAGAAACAATTAGTTATGGACAATACTCCTTACGATCTTAGTAGCAACAAAAAGTAGTTTCTTAAGATAAAAGAAGTTGAACTCGCTCTCTACTACATTACCGTTCTAGAGAAATAATACGATGATTTTGCTTGGAAACATATTCTTGATAAAATCCCAGGATTTGGAAAAGACACTTGCAAAAAGATTGATGAATGTGCTAAGGAAAATAAAACATCCATGTTCGATATACTTAATAATCTTGCTTAAAACGAATAGAATTAATCAACTCCAACAATAAAAAAGGCCTCAGGCAAAAGAAAACCAGCAATGCCCATCAGTGCTCTAGAAAAATGGGCAAATCCAAAATTGATAGTATCTAAAGATGATTCGACAGAAGGTAGTATATCTTCCCCGAAAAAAGAACCTTAAGATAATGTTCGAAAAATCCTTAAGGTTGACATTAAACTAAACAAAAAGCAGAAAGAAAATCTATCTCGACTTATGAAATAAAGAGAAATTTTCAAGAATACTCAAACTAAGATGCTGGTCAAATACTTGACAAACATTGGATTTTATGAGCATTTAGCAAAGAATTCAAACATAAAAGAGAAAGATCCTGTTAAATGCCAGAAAAATGTTCAAAGTCTTCTTGAAATAGCCGAAGCATTTGATGACATTAAGCAATTTGTAGATCATATTGCTTTATTTTCATAAGAGGGGAGTGGAAGTGAGGAATCTGAATCCAAATCTATAAAGCTAATGACAATACATTCAAGCAAGGGTCTTGAATTTGATCATGTATTTTTGCCATTTTGGGTTCAAGGCAAGATGCCCGTTGAATTCTAAAGGGATAGATAAGCCGCTGATATTGAGGAAGAGAGAAGATGCGCATTTGTTGGAATTACTCGAGCTAGAAAATCAATACACATAAGTCACCATTAAATGAGCGATAACAATTATCAGACAATTTAGCATAGATAATCTGTATTTTTAAAGGAAATTTGATCACTTAAGAATTTGCTGTAAAAATCAATTTCTTATCTCCGTTTTTATATTCTATTTTATTTGTGGTATATGATTGTTATTCTTAAATTATTTGAAAGATATGGATTTAGGGGTTTTGGGGTTTTGGGGTTTTGGGGTTTTGGGGTTTTGGGGTTTTGGGGTTT